TGAGGGTCCCTAAGCCAGATGTATTCAGGGAAAATTCCTGGCCATCAAAATCTGTAGCAAATAACACAAATTTATTGTTTTTAGTTGATCAGTTTTAGGGAATTTTTCATGCAACAGTAGATTCATAATATAAAGTACAAAGAGAGAATGACTTGAATTGGAAGGTCTTTCATACCTTTTAAAAACCTGGGGTAAACATTAAGGGGGGGGGGGGGGGAGGGGGGAGGCAGGCACAATGGCTCAGCCTGTAATCCCAGCACTTTGGGAGGCCAAGGCGAGAGGGTTGCCTGAGCCTGGGGATTTGAGAACAGCCTCGGCAATTTGGGAGGACCTCGTCTCTATGATTAAAAAAAAAAAAAAATTAGCCAGGCATGGTAGTGTGTGCCTGTAGTTCTGGCTACTTGGAAGGCTGAGGCAGAAGGATTGCCTAAGCCCAGCAGTCAAGGCTGCGGTGGCCTTGAGGACTCCAGCCTGGGTGAGGAGTGAGACTCCAACTCAAAAACAAACCCTGGGAGGGCAACCCCCTCGGGTTCTCTCGCACTGTAGGAGCTTTTCTTTCCTTTCACCAAATTCTACTAAAATAATAATAATAAAACCTAGGGGGAGGGATGATAAACACAAAAATCTATGTAGTGGGTCCCTTGTTGGGGGCAGAGGTGGGGGCAGGAGGAGCCCACAGGTGAGAAGGGTCATAGCCAGTGTTCTGTCCTCCAGCTGGGGGGGTGGGCGTTGTGGGTGTTTATTATTTGTAAAAATGTAATAAACAAATCAAATAAATGCTATTCATGGTACAGTTATCACAGTGAGTCCTAACCAAGCATAGAATTAATCCAGTTCGAATCATCTGAGGTCCAAAAAGAGAAAAGAGCTGATACATGGCACCCTGACACTAAAATGTATATGAGTATGTCCTGCTCCCCTAACATGCATATAGACACAATTATGATATGCTGTCATTACAAGCTAGGCTCTCTGGTAAAGTCACGCATGACAGTTATAATTCCCACCATGTGGTAAGGAGACCCTGGGGTCTGACGTGGTCAGACCTAGGTTCAAATCCCTGCTCGCCACTGGCTAATCACGTGACCTTTGGAAAGTGACTCCTCTCTCCTCAGCCTCCCTTTCACAGGCCTCTGAGGTGAAGGTTAAATAATCAATGTGTTTATAAAACAGTCATGCATGTAAGGCATGTGAAAGCTACATACCTGCACTATATGCAAGAAACCTGGTACACTCGCAGGTACTACAGTGTTTGCTGAGTGAATCCAGTATAGAGCAGGCTTTGTGACAATGCCTTTCATCCTGTGTGACCATAGCAGGAAATGCAGCATCACACGGTAGAGGCAGCAGTCACAAGGCTAGATGGAGCGCATGCGCTCGGTGTGTGAGGAGGGAAGCCCATCCCCTCTGCAGAGAGCCTGGCCAGGGTTGGGAGTGTGGGGGGTACTGGGCCTCAGTCCTCACTGGGACCACGAGGGGATGGGTTGTGGTCAGATGTGGGCTGACCTGAAATTCCCTACCTCCTCGTGCAAGCAGAGCTCCTACCTGCAGGAAGGTCAGGGCTGCTCTCTGTAGCAGGCACTCCGCATAGCAGACCTCAGCGTGGATCTCCTCTGTGGGAAGAAAACCAAAGCCCTGGGGCCTCCTGGGACTCTAGGCAGGAGGCCTGGACTGAACTCATGTCCCCATCACCCCAAAAGCAAAGAGAGCTTGCGTCAGCACCTCCCCCAGCGCCCCAACACCCCCCCCACCCAGTTGCCCAGGTCAGCTCCTCACTGTCCCTAGTCAGCTCACATCCCCCCGGTCTCCTGCTGGGTCCTCCACCCCTTCAGCCCCCCCTGTCCCCCAGGAGGTCAGTCCAGCCTCATTCTCTTCTTCTCCAAGCAGCCTCGTATTTGCTGTGCACCCAGCACCATCTGATGCTTCCAGGCGGGTAAGGTCACTTGCCCCTGTGCTGAAAAGCCCCTAACTGCTTGTGGTCAGCCACCACTACCTCCAGGACCAGCGTTCATGGTCACGACACAAAGACACCAGAGAGGCTGTGACAGCCCTGACCGCCTCTTCTAATGTGGTCAGCTGCCTTGTCCCAGAATGTCAGTTGCTAAAACCACATTTCCTCTGGGGCACACGTGATCAGTAGGCTAATTCAATCAGTGACCCCAACTGCACACACAATTCTGTTTCCCTTGGCCACAGGAGCAAAACCCACGGACCCTATGACAGTCTCTCCTTTCCCGGACTGCCAGCTTCTCAGCCAGTGATGCCATCAGGTAAGTGGGCCTCATCTGCCCTCCACGCCCTCCCCAGAGAGCCATTCCTCCAAAGGCCCCAAGTCTGGCCCATCTGTGTCCCAGCACCAAGGCCAGGGCCTGGCCCCTTTGGTGATAACTGGGAGGACAACTGCCCTTTCCACCCCTTCCTGGGCCTGGAGCCAGGCCACCTGGGCTTCGCATGGTTGAGAGGACATCCCGGATGCCACACCTTCCGTGAATTGGCCCAGAGTGGGGCGGTTCACCAGGCTGCTGAAGGAATCTGTCACGGAAGACTTCCTCCGGTGCCTGAAGAGGAAAAAGGGGCCTCGGTGAGGATGGGAAAGGGGCCACACTCATCTCTGTCCCCCTCTGCTACATTCTAGAAAATTCCTACAGAGGCAACATTAGCAAAAATAATATAAGCTTTGGGGACAGACAGAGAAGGTTTGAGATTCTGGCCAAAAAAAAAAAAGTCACTTTATTTATCTGAGCCTCAGTGTCCTCACTGGTAGAACAGGGACAGTTAACAGGCACGTCAATCATGGGGTTGAGTACCTGCAGCAGGCCCCTGGCCAGCCTGTCCCCAGGCTAGGTGACGTTGCTCTTGGCAGCTCCGACCCATCCCACCTCTGGATTCCTTAATTTAGGTCTTGAGTGCCACGCCTGGCCTGCTGCTCCTACCCGCCCAGGTCCCGGTGCCCGTTAGCCCTCCACCTGTCTGCCAGGGAGTTTCTCCCAAAGGCCTTCCCCCAGCTCAGGACCCCTACAGCAGGCACTGCCCTGAAGATGCAGCCTGGGTCCTTGGGGCGGCTTCCAAGGTGTGTAGGCTCCTCCCACAGGATTCTCTAGACAGTGAACTCCCGGCAGCCCTCAAACCTGGGCTTTCTCACACCTTTGCCCCCACTGTAGTGCCTTCTCCCTTCGCCCCAGCCAGCTTCTAGTCACCCCTGGGGACCTGGCTCTGGCCTCCCCTCCCCCAGGAAGCCTTTCCTGCTCCCCTGGCTAGACCCCCACAGCCCCTGGAGCTTCCTTGCATCATGCTGCAGTGTCACTGTCTGTGTCGATCTCCCTGACCTGGCAGTGCAGGCGTCAGAGTGGCCCAGGTCTGATGATTTCCTGGGTCACCCATGCTTGGCGCAGGGCCTGGCCCAGAGCAAGCATGAGCGTGCGCCCAGTGAACATTGGTGCACAGACACTTGGTGTCTATTAGGCCATTCTTTCGTGTAGCAAATGTGAACCCAACACTAATTATGCACCAGGTCCTGTGACCGGTGTCTTTGTGCGGTCCCCAGGATATATAACCCTGTGATGTCTCTTTCATCACACTCATTTTACAAGTGAGGAAAGCTGAGTCCAGAAAGGGACTTGTCCAAGGTCAGAGTTATTAGAGAATTCATTTTTCTCCCAATCAAGATTAGCTTGCACAACAAGGCTTTTGAGGCAAGTGCTGACAGGGACAGCTCTCAGCACTTGGGGACACAAGTTCTCAGCCAAAAGAAGCCCGTATAGCAGCATTTCAGGCATTGGAATGGGCCAGGGCGACAGACAGTGGGCCTTGCATCCTCTAACCCCTGTCCCCCGTGTCCCAGACCTCTGACACAGCAACTGCGCCTCCTTCATCATGTTGCCTGCGAGCAGGATGTCCTGAGGGTCAAAGGTCATCATGGCCTGCATCTCCAGGATGGTGGCATACGTCAGCGAGTGGTACATGCTCTCCTTGGTTCTGCCGGAGAGAAGGGACATTGAGAGCACTGACCCCTAGCACTCCACAGGTAGCGGGCCCTGGGGAGATCACCCACCAGGGGTGATCTGCACAGGGAAGAGAGCAGGGGGACCGGAGGTCCAAGGGCAGGGAGAGGTTGGCGGAGGTCTGACCCTTTCACTGCCACTCAAAGACCTCGATCCTGTCCACAACTGCTCTGCTTCCTGCTGACGGCCCTGAGCGAACTTCCAGAGCTGGGCCTTGGCTCCTGGCCTGCCTGGCAGGAGTGGCAGCAGCCCAGCTGCGGTGGGGACCGAGAGAGCACATGGCGGTTGGTCTCAAGTTGCCCTTCCCGACGCCCAGGGCCCGCCCCCTGCCTTCCACCCCCACTTGCAGCAGGCAAGCCCAAGTCCCTGTGAGATCCTGTCTGTTCCCAAGCCCCATCCCTGGGCCTACCCTGTGCCCACTCCCTGGCCACCTGTTGCCTTGTCTATCCTGCCCCATCATCTGATCATGGTGTCCTCTGATTAAACCCTCCTGTGGCTGCCACAGCCCAGGGAACAACAGCTGGAATGAGGCTGCACAGGATGCCAACCCTGCCTACCTCCCCACACCACCCCCTAGCTCTTGGTCACACCCAAGACTGTACCCCCACCATACTGAACCACACAGACTTTCCACAAGAAAACCCCACATTTCCCTCTTCCAGGCCTTGGGCCACGCTGCTCCCTCAGCTTGAATGCCCTTTCCCTACCTCCACATCTCCTGACTCATTCATCATGGCCTTCAAATGCCACCAAGGCCGCTGGGAATCCAGGGCCCCTCCTCAGGGGCTGAGTGTCTATAACTGAGGCCTGGGCCACAATGAACTCAGCTCTCCCCCAAGACTGCAGGCACCTCGAGAACAGTGCTTGCATATGACTCATCTGTGTCCCCAGCACCAGGGTGTCAGGGCTGAGCCCAGTGGCCCCAGAAAGCCTTCGCCTCCTGGCTCTCTGCTCCTCTACAGCCCCAGGCTTCTTGGCTACAGAGTGTGTTGGGGATGGGGGGCATTTAGTCTAACACACAGAGAGGACGACAGGCGGGGAGGGACTGGAACAGTGCCAGTCTCTCTGTATTGGAGGAGTCGCCTAACAGGTCTGGACCTTGATTTCTGCTTCTGCAAAATGGGCCAATCATGCCAGCCTTCCCGGGCCTCTATGGCTCCGTGAGGCTGACCATGGGCCTGTAAGACTGCAGGCAGTGCTGTGGCCATCTTCACTCCTTCCCCACGTCCCCTTGTTAATCATTTATGAAGCTCCTCAGTACCTGGCTCATGCTGGAAACTTGGGAGGAAAGAGAGATGACTAAGGTTTACAGACAGTTTTATGTGTTATTGTCAAATCATGTGACCTATTCTTCTGCCTTTCTCATTTATAAAACGCTTGTCAAGTTGCTGCCTTTTTTCTTCTGGGCGATCCTCAGATAATCCTTGAGGGTCAAAGATAGGAAAAAAGCTGGTCCACCCCTCACCAGCACTGGCTGCCATGAGGACACCCCCCAGGCCTTTGCTAGGCCTGCTTAATCTGCAGGCAGAGGCTTGTGGAAAGGAGGCAGCTGCCCACAGGGGAGGTCAGAACTTGGACTTCAGAGCCTCTCAGACACAGGTTGGAATCCTGGCTTTGCCAGTTCCCAGCTGGGTCTGGTAACCTCTCTGAGCCTCATATTTCTCCCTATAGAAACAAATACAATAACACCTCTCTACCAGGGCTTTTTGAGTTGGCTTAACTAGGACACTTAAGCCAGGGGCCACATCACCAACACTTAATAAAGGTGAGTCATGTCCTACCCAGGTCAAGGGTCACTTTCCTGCGTAAAAACTTCTCTTTGAGGAAGGACTTCCCTGGCAGCACACAGACCTCCTCCCCCAGATTACCCCTACCCCCTGGGCCTCTCCAGCTCTCAAGCCCTTGCCTCTCTCTTCATTTCCACCACAGGTCTGAGGCCTGAGACTCCGCTCCACTGCCCAGCCCCACCTGTTAGACCCAGTCTGGTGCTGGGCCCAGAGGGAGAGACAACCCCCCCAGGCAGCCGGCAGACAAAGTGGAATTCCTAGTCTGAGGCCCAAGGCCCCAACATGCACCTGTGACTAGGAATCCTAGTCCCTCCCTAGCCTCCCACCTGGAAGCCCCCCAGCTTTGGTCTGGACTGGAAAACGGGATATAAAAGTATGACAACCCTCAAACCTCAGACATGCCAAGTTTGGTTTGTACCCCCACAAGTTCTTATTTGCATATATGGCAACCAGACCCCTGGGAGCAACAGCCCCCTCACTCCTGAGCGGACCCCAGCTATGGGATAAGATGCCCACTGGGGTCCCGCCTTCTGGGACCCGGGGCAGCTGTCAAGATGGGGAGGGCGCTAGAAGAGCCGTCAAAGAGCAGGGTGTCGGAATTGGGGACTGACTCCTTGGGCGCCAGGAGGTCGGCCGATCCCAGTGGCCTCTAGGCCACCCTTCCTCAGCTAGCAGCCAAGGTTCAGGTCTTGGTGGATACTGGTCAGTCATCCTGTCCTGCCCTTGCCCTCACCACTGGGGCCTCCTTAGCCTGCCCCAGCACCCACGGCTTCTTCCTCACACAGTTCCAGCCTCACTTTCTGAGGTCCTTTCAGGGTGAGGCTCTCTAGGCTGGAAGGCGGAGGCAGCCCTTCCGCCTCTCCAAGTCTCTGTTGCCCTCTCTCCACTTTCTGGTCTTCTCAGACCCCTCTCACTCTCCCACTTTCCAGGCCAAGCTGCTTCTGGGGGCTCCATATTCCCCATCTGCTTCTATCACCCTGCCTCTTCCTTCTGGAGCTGTCTCCGCTCTCCCTACTCAGCCAGGTTGAGCGTCTCTGTTCCTCAGATACTCCCGCCCCTCACGCGCTGCCCAGACTTTGCAAAGGCTGCCCCACCCTCCACCTCCAGCCTGTCCTCTCTTCTTGGCCCCTCAGTGAGCTCCTCACATCAGCCCCTCTCTTGTCAAGAGACTCAGTGCTAAGTCTGCCAACCTTCTGCTGCACGCAGTCAGGTACCCAGCCCAGAAGTCACACAAATGCCCACTTTTTCCACACAGCCACTGACCAACACTGGAGAAAGCTGCCCTGCATACAGACCAGCACATCCTGGCTGGGGCCCCTGGCCTCAGCCAGGCCTGCCACGCCCCCCAGAAACACTTTTCCCCTGCTCCTTGTCATCCCTCCAACACCACAGGGCTCTCACTCCCAGCAGGTGACTTGGCCTCTTTCCTCAGAGGAACTCCAGGATACAGCATGGACACACCCTGAACTTCCTCGAACATACCCTGTGCACACCTTCCACCTCCTTCACTCTTCATTGGGGTAGGCAGGCATGAGGCTCCCCACCCAAGGCAAACGCCTCCACCCTGCTCGAGACCCAAGACAGCACGGCAGGCGGAATGTGGTTTGTGCGACCTGGTGGGCCTGGATTGGAATCCCAGCTCTGCCACTTCTTAATCTAGACCCTTATTCATCAAGAAAAACAGAGTAGCCCCCTCATCTTCCAGAGACAGTGTTTAGGAACAGACACAGTGCTGAGCAAAACAAACTAGAAGCAGAGACAGCACCGCTCACATATGGAAAGCAGATGTCAGGTGGGGGCAGGGAGCTTGGGAAGCCCAGTTACCTCCCAAGGAGCAAAAGGGACAACCTCCCCTACCGCCCAGGATTAGGACGGTTAAATAAGACAGTGTGTGTACAACAAAGGACAGTGCATGAAACTAGATCCATCATCTTCTGAAGCTTCAATGGCTACAAATAAGGAAGGGAAAGCTGTTGTGTTTTGTTTTTAGCAAGAATTATTTTCTCTAGACCAGTGGTTTTCAATGAAAGTGGCAAAGTACTCCTCCCAATGTGAGGACAATTGGCAGTTTGGGGAGACATTCTGGGTTGTCACAAGGTGGTGAGGGGGGAATGTGTTACTGATACTACCATTTAGAGAAGAATTCTTAATTCAAAAGAAAAGAAAGATCCTTTTCTGGAATGGGCCAGGGGTTAATATATAGCAAGTACACTGCCTCACATGTACTTGGTAAAAGTTGGCCTTGTGGGAAGACTGGATTCATGGGGTGCCTCCGTCAGGATGAGGGTTTCCTCTTGGGGACCTGAGAGCTGCGGTACTTCTGTTAGCTGCCTCCTGGGGTGAGGGACTACAGAGGGAAATGCCCTCTCAGGGACTCCATGGCAGGGTCAGCTCAAGGACCTGAGGACAGCCACAGCATCTGGGTTTAATGTTTTCTTCTGTGCTCTGCCTTCCTTCTGATAGCCCCGAGTCTACAGGAGAGTTTAGAGCAGACCAAGGTATGGCCTGGTTTTAGCTGGCCTTCAGGGGAAGAGGAGAAAGGCTGTGCTTAGGGTCCACTGGGACAGTGCTAAGCAGCTGTGGCCTGGGACAGCTGGTTTCTAATGCAGGAAGGTGGCTATGGTCTGGGCTTCAGGGCAGAGTGAGGGACACAAGATGACTGGGGAGAAGTAGGAGCCAGGAAGCTTTCCAAGATTACCAGGAGGGGAACCTGGTCATTCAGTGATGGAGCAGGGTGTGGCTTGGCCTGCTTCAGAGCGTGGCCATACTCTTGCTGCAGACCCTGGCCTGCCCGACCTGCCCCACCTCAAGCCCAGATTCCCTAGGAGGGTGGGAGGGAGGCGTGGGGACTGCTACCAGAGGGGCTCATTCAATCATCACACCCTGGAACCCCCACTCCACCCCACCCCAGAAGCTGAGCCACGGACCCCAGGCAGGAGAACGAAGGGTCAGTCAAGTCTAGAGAAACTGAACAGGCTGGGCTTGGGGACTTGGGGAAACCAGTCCCACTGCTTCAGCGTTCGCTTTCCCTTGGGGCCTAGGAAACCAGGTAAGGCATTGTACAAGACAGCTTGGAGCTGATGGGAGGGGGCCCAGGAAACCAGGTAAGGCATTGTACAAGACAGCTTGGAGCTGATGGGAGGGGGCCCAGGGAAAGTAGACAGTGGACATGATTAGACCCCGCTCTCTGCCACACCCAGTCTCAGAATCCAGGCCGCCAGGGCTCCCTGTCAGCTGAAGAATGAAGAATTCTTCTCTAAGTAAGTGGAACCACCCCAGGGCTGACATTTGGGGGCCAGCTCTCTGCCAGATCATTTAAGGCCAACCCCACCAATCACAAGGCGGCTTGGCATAGACCTTCCAGTTGGCCTTTGAGCAAACTCATTCTTAAATATGACCAGACAGACCTAGCTGGGGATCACTGGCTATTTGAAGAAAGCACCCATGAGAAGAGGACTCCTATCATAAAACAGAATTCAGGAGCACGAAGAGAACAAAATTATGCAGGAAAAGAATAAAACTTTTTTTTTTTTTTAGTTGGAGTCTCACTCTGTTGCCCAGGCTGGAGTGCAGTGGCACACTCATGGCCACCCCAGCGTCAACCTGCTAGGTTCCGGCGATCCTTCTGCCTCAGCCTTCCAAGTAGCCGGAACTACAGGCACGTGCTACCATGCCCGGCTAATTTTTGGTTTATTGTAGAGATGAGGTCTTGCCAGGTTGCCCGGGCTGGTCTCGAACCCACAGGCTCAGGCAATCCACTCACCTTGACCTCCCAAAGTGCTGGGATTATAGGCTGAGCCACCGAACCTGGCCAGAATAAAGCATTTTTTAAAAAATAATATTCCGTGGCAATAATAATAACAAAAAAGTACCTTATTAGAATGCTTATTACATGCCACATCCTGTCCTAAGGGTCTCATATTATAAATATAGATATAAAGAAGACAGTGGCTGGGCACAGTGGCTCATGCCTGCAATCCCAGCACTTTGAGAGGCCGAGGCTGGTGGATTACTTGAGCCTAGGAGCTCGAGACCAGCCTGGGCAACATAGCGAGACCTCATCTCTACAGTAAATCAAAAAATTAGCCGGACGTGGTGGCATGCACCTGTAGTCCCAGCTACTCAGGATGAAAGATCACCTGAGACAAGGAGGTCGAGCCTGCCATGAGTTGTGGTCATGCCACTGCACTCTAGCCTGGGTGACAGAGTGAGAACCTGACTCAAAAAAAAAAAAAAGACAGTACACTCATAGACCAAGAATAAGATGTCAGAGTAAAAAGAACATTCAGAGAATGAAGAGTACTGGAAATTAATCATATGATTACAGAAATAAGATCAATAGAAGGAATCAATGATAAGAGTGAGGAAGTGTCCCAAAAATCAAAGGGAAAAAAAGATAAAGAAATAGATGAAAGGGGAGGGATGGATGGATGGAGATAAGAGGCTTACAAGAGCATTTCCCCAGAGAGTCCAATACCTGCCTTAAAGAAAGCCCAGGAAAGGGAAACAGATGATAGAGTGATGGTACCAGAGAACTTCCCGGAACCGAAAGGGTCTCCACACAACACCACAGAATAAAAAAGCCCTTCATTCCAGCACATCATTGTGACATGCCAGATTTGCAGGAATATAGGAGACGAGCCTGCACATTTTTGAAGAAGAGATGATGGCACACAATGTAAGAAAAACTAGGGTTCTCACGGCTACAGTAAATGACAGAAAACAGAGGAGGAATGTCTACAAAAGTCTGAGGGAAAAACGTGTATTCATGCAACTCTTTCTCAGGAAATCTCTAGAGGACATGTTCTGGTAAGATGGGGAAAAACAAGACCTGGATCAAAGAAATGGGAGAGAAGCAGAGGGGCTCCGGGAGATAGCTGGGGGGCTGGACAGTAGACACATCTGTCCTCGGGAGGACAGGTTTCCAGGAAAAGGAGGGACTGAGAGCTGACTTGGTATGTTCAAGCATTTGGGGGAAAACTCATGATAGGGTGATCTGATGGAGCAGTTATAAAACATTAAGATAAATGTACAGGAAATTAGGCAAATGAAAAAGTAAGATGATTACTGACTCCAGAAAGGAAACAATCTAGTGCACAATTTGTCTGCTATGAGCACTGATTATGAAGTTATAATAATGTGAACCCCTGATTCTCAGTTTACCCAAATATTGTGATATCATGACAAGAGAAGGATGAGGGCAGGAAGGCAGCGCAGAGGGGAGAGGTGACATTTTCTCTTTTTTTTGAGTTGGAGTCTCACTCTGTCACCCAGGTTAGAGTGCAGTGGCACAACCACGGTTCACAGCAATCTTGACCTCCTAAGTCTCAGGTGATCGATCCTTCCACCTCAACATTCTGAGTAGCTGGGACTACAGGCATGTGCCACCACAACTGGCTAATTTTTTTATTTTTTTGTAGAGACAAGACCTTGCCAAGTTGTCCAGTCTGGTCTCAGACCCCTGGGGGCTCAGGCAATCCTCTTGCTTTTGCCTTCCAAAGTGCTGGGATTATAGGCCTAGATAGCGTTTAAAAGTGACAAGGAGGAAAGAGTAAATTTTATGGCATGTGAATTGAATCTCAATTTTAAAAACTGAGATAAGAAAAAGGAATCTAGTAGGGTGTGGTGGTTCACACCTGTAATCCCAACACTTTGGGAGGTGGAGGCAAGAGGTTTGCCAGAGCCCAGGGATTCCAGACTATCCTGGGCAACTTGATGAGATCTCATCTCTACATTAAATAAAAAATTTAGATGGGTGTGGTAGCGCATGCCTGTAGTTCCAGCTACTTGAAAGGCTGACACGGAAGGATCACCTGAGCCCAGCAGGTCAAGACTGCGGTGGTTGTGAGTGCGCCACTACACTCCAGCCTGGACGACAGAGTGAGACTCTAACTCAAGAAAAAGCAGAAGGAATATAAGCACATTATTTACTTACATTTAAAGAAATAAGGCAGTAAACGCTAGAGAAAATGGCTGAAAAAGCACGCAACTCAAGTCTTTATTGCTGGTGGTGGCAGCGGGTGGGGTGGGTGTTGAGAGAAGGGTAATCAACAAAGGGGCCATGTCAGAGCTGACAGGGAAAAGCCCCAAGTGGATTCCTTGGGAACAAGAAATTCAAGTGTGAAGAGGGCTCAGAACCCAAGGCGAGGGAAGTCACGGTGACCTTGGAAAGGCCCTGGCTGCATGCAGGCTGTGGGGTGGGGAGCTCGAGCCATGTTTATGGGATTCTCAGGGGTCACGGTGACCCAGAAAGCGAAGGCATTCAGTCACACAGGGCTCCTCCCACACGAGACCTCTGGTTCTTCCCTAGCCGCGTGCCCCATCCCTGCACGCGCGCCCCCACCCCAACTGGGCCTTACGCCTCACCTGGGCTTGAGGTAGCTGAGTGCTTCTGAGAATCGGTTGGTGAGGAAGAGGTCCAGGGCGGTCATGCACTGGTCCAGGGCCTCATGGAGGCTGCTCACAGGAGTCCTAAGAGGAGAGACATGGGCATGACCCTGGGAACCCCAGCCCCGCCTGGCCAGGACAGAGCCTCATAGGGTGGCCTTGGATGCCCACTTCTATTGGGGCACAGGGGCAATTTGGACCCACCTTTTGGTATTCCCAAGGTGGGAGGAGGAGCGGAAGGGGGTGTCACCTGAGAGCTGATGGAGGGACCAAGGGTGGGAACAAGGAGGCCTTAAGAATAAATTGATCTTACCTTCTACGAGGGTAAAGGGAGTCTTTGTGGCCTTTTTGACCCATCAGGCTTTGCTGCACCCCCTGGGGGGCACAGCCCACCCACTAATTCCCACTGTCCCTCTCTCCCTCCTTCTCCAGGTCTCCTTCTGCCCCCAAGACTGCACTCTAGAATCCAGATACTGTCACAATGGGCTACCAAAGGTGGGGCTCATCCGAGCAGCCCAGGGGCGTTTCACCTGCCAAATGGCACCCCTGGTAAACCTGACCTCTATCCAGTCCTTATATCTCTCTATGGTTTTTATTGCCCTCTGATACTACATTTTGTACTCACTTTTTTGTTTATTGTCTGTCTCCCTCCACTAAACTATAAGCTCCCAGAAGGCAGCAGTCTTTGTTTTGTTCCCTGCTGTACTCCCAGCATCTAGCAACTGGTACAAAGTAGTTTTTAAAAAATATGTGATTTTAAAAAAGTGTTATGTGAATGAATGAATGAATGAATGAATAGTAAATCCCTGACTTTTCTGGGTCTCAGTTTTCCCATCTGTAAAATGAGGGATGAAATGAGATCCTATGAGGCCTATTTGATGGTTTTGAGAAAAATCTCTTCTCAAGGGGCCTCTTTTAGGTGAAAGGAGGAGGCAGGGGCTCAATGATCTTGCTGAAGGGAAATACTGCTCCCCAAAAGTTAGTTAAGAGAAAGTCCCTTCTCCACCAGGTAGACTCCTACACATACCTTGAGGCCCAGCTCTGAAGTCTCCTCCTCTGGGATTATCAGCAGATCTTCCCAGGGAAATTGGAAAGTGTCTTTTTCAAAATCGAACCCTTGTTCATACTCGCAAATCTGTTCTCCCCCAGTCTTTGTCATTTTAGTAAGTGACATGTCTCTATTCAGTTCCATAAGCCAGAAATCTGAGAGTCATCCTGGCCACATCTCCCTCCCGGGCCTCTGGCATCCCCTCCATCACTGAACCCTATATGCCCTACTTCCTAACATCTCTTAATCCACCCCTCCCGTTCCCAATGCCTTCTGTTCCAGGCCACCATCATGGTTTTTTGGGAGGGTTTTTTTGAGTTGGAGTCTCACTCTGTCACTCAGGCTGGAGTGCAGTGGCACAATCACGGCCACCCCAGCATCGACCTACTGAACTCCAGCAATCCTTCCACCTCAGCCTTCCAAGTAGCCGGAACTACGGGAACGCACTGACACGCCCGGCTGATTCTTTTTTTTTTTTTTTTTTTAAAGAGACAAGGTCTTGCTTTGTTGTCCAGGCTGGTGTCAAAATCCTGGGCTCAAGTGATTCTCCCATCACAGCCTCCCAAAGTGCTGGGATTACAGGCATGAGCTACTACACCCAGCCAAGTTTTTCATTTCAGTGATTATATTTTTCATTTCTAGAATCTCCTCTTGGTTCTTTTTCAAATCTGTTTTGTTATTTGGAGCAGGATTCCCTATTTCAAGGTCATCTTCAATTTCTTTACATATTTTATTTTATTTTTGGGGTAGGAGTCTCACTCTGTTGCCCAGGCTGGAGTATAGTGGTACGCTCACAGTCACCGCAGCCTTAACCTGCTGGGTTCAGATGACCCTTCTGATCAGCCCTTCCAAGTAGCTATCACTACAGGCATGCGCCACCACACTCGACTAATTTTTTTATTATTTATTGTAGAGACAAGGTCTCACCAAGTTGCCCAGGCTGGTCTCAAATCACTGGACTCAGGCAATCCTCTTGCCTTCACCTCCCAAAGTGCTGGGAATACAGGCGTGAGCCACTGCGCCCGGCTTCTTTATGCATTTTAAGCACAATTATTTCTATTTTATTTCTCATAATTCTGGCCTCTTAGACTTGCAAGGAAACAAGTCCTGTGACTTCTTATATCTGGCACCTGCTATTCATGGTGGCTAGTTTCTGTGTGTGCTTTGTTTTGCAGTTTTATCATGGATTCATGTTTAACTGATCCCAAGGGGACCCTGGGATTAGAACACATTCCTCCAGAAAGGATTTTCACTTACTTGGCCAGGCTCCCTGGGCACTACCACACTGAGACCATTTCAGTTGCTTTTTCAGTTTATGATTTCCAGGCCCTCAAAGGTAGCATGCATTCAAACCCCACATTTGTGTGAAGACAGACCAGTGTTTATCATATTCTAGGGGACTTTTCCCCCATCAGAACTGCTCTCTGCTGGTAGTGGATCTTTTTTCTAGCAAATCCTCCTGAGGCTGTAGCCCTTGGAAAGGCCCTGATTTATGTGTGTGGGGGGGGACTAAGTCCCAACTCCTCACACTGGAACTGTGCAGGCCCAAGACCTTGTTTCCTATCCCTTGAGTGGCCGTTGAAACCCAAGGCTCAAGGCTGTTGAAATCTATAAACACCCTAAGGTTGCTGCAGCCTCACCTTGTTTACCAGCCTGACTGCAGCTCTTTCTTCCTCTTGGCTTGAGAGTTTCTGTTACTTCTGTGGGAGCTCAGGAGTATGTTTTAAAGTATGTTTGTTGTAACCCACCCAGACTTCAGGTACTTTTTTTCTTTTTAGGGTGAATGTTAGAAGCACTGTTCCCTCTAACCCGTTCCTCTCATAACAGCCAAAAACCCAAATCTGAGAAAATAAATAAATAAATCCCAAATCTGACCATGTCAACCCTGCACTTAAAGTCCTTCCTGCCTCTCTTAGGTAAAGACCAAGGGTCTTTCCGGGGCCTAAAAGGCCCCACCCGAAAATACTGTGGCCCTCTCTTCATGAGGCCGGGCAGTGTCTGTCTTCCGCTGTGCCCAGGGCACAGCCTAGTGACTGACGTTCAATCTATTTATTGCTGTCAGATGAATCGACGAAGAGCCGTGAACACCTACTGCCTTGGGTGCTTAACTGGCCTTTTCCCCAAAGCCCTCCAAATGCTTTGTGAAATGGGATTCCTGCCCCCTACTGCAGATGAAGAAATTGAGGCACAGAGGGGAGATGACTTGGCTGAGGACACATGTATGGGTTCTAACCCAAGTTTCTTCCTGAGCTAGTGCCCGACAGCTCAGCACGGGAGTCAGTCCGTTGCCATGGCTTATACCAATCTCTAAACAATTCCAGAGCCAAAAGCTTGCCTCCCATTTCTGCACATACACCCCAACCCTCACCACCTTCACCTCTCACCAAGGAAAAGGTTCTGCCTGCTTGGTATATCCAGAGAGAAAGATGCACAGGCTAACAGACAGGGCAGACATGAAGATTCCCTCTCCTGGCAGTCCCAGGACTGCTGCTCACCTGGAATGAGGTGGGTCTGTGGTAACCTCCTGAGAATGGGGGTGAGCCCCACGCTGGCTTCCTTCTTCCTTCCCTCCCACAAACACCCACTAATCTCCCACTCTAGGCCAGGCCTGGGGCTGGGCTGACGGGACACAGAGTAGACCCAGACCTGGGCCTGGCCTTAAGGAGCTCAGTCCTTACAGGAGACAGAGGCAGACAGAGCCAGGGACTGCCACAGTGCTCAGGGCTGCATTAATGGGGATCACCGGGGGCTGAAGAGGCCACTCACCCAGCCTGGGCACTCAAGGGAGCTATCTGGAAAGATGGCATCAAACTGAGAACATGATGGAGAAAGAAGGCCAAGGAGGGGAAACAGGCATGTGCAAAGGGCTGGAGGCATGATCCTGTAGTTGGGAGGCGTACACATTCTGGAAGGGTGGAAAGAGGCTCAGGAAGGCCAGCTACATGGAGGGGTGAGGCTGGGGCTGGCTGGGGAGCTCAGAAGGACAGGGGGTATCATCCCCGTTTGGCTTCACAATAGCATTAACAACCACCCATCACCACAAAGGGAAGAGCACCTCGAGTTATCTACCCCGGGACTGCAGTATTTCACTCCGTCTTCCCAGCAGCAGACTTCTCACCTGCATTTGACAGATAAGGCCACGAAGGCAGTGAAGACCAGCCTCCTCTGCTCCTCCCAGAAGCCCGGGAGAAGACAGAAACGCTTTCTGCAGAAACACCAAACTTTCCCCTCCCTGGTCATGACCGAGGCCCCCACTTCACCACAGGCTGTCCCTGCGTCTTCAAGGTCTTTCTGCTCCAGGGCACCATGCTGGGCCCACATGACATATATTCCTGTGATGATGGTGGCCTCTCCACTGTGCTTTGGGAAACAGAGCGGCGGGGGTGGGAGCAGGCAGAGGAGGCTCTGGGCTGGATGGAGCATGGGCAGGGCGGGTGACCAACGCTGGGAGCTTTGGCATAGTGGTGGGGGGCTCTCCCAATCGGATCCCACACATGTTTGAGGCCCAAGGGAGAAGGGAGCTGGAGGGTGGGAGGGGTGTCAGGCAACCTGGGCCACCTCCGCCTTCCCCTTCCCACCCACCTCCCTCCTGCAGTCTGCCTGGACTGCTACTTGAATGTCTCCAGGGCAGAGCTGGGTGAATGAGGAGTCCCTCAGTCTCCACTGGGGGAGAGCAATCCTCCTACCCTGACCCCAGTCAGGGTGAGGTGGGTGTGGCCAGGACGCAGTGGAACAAAGTCACTCAGGAGGCAGACTGGAATCAGAGCTGGATTTTAATCTCTGCCTCACCGCTGCAGGAACTTTGGGTCAAAGAGTGAAGTAACTTGTCCATGGGGATCTGTTACTTCTGAAGTGACCTTTTCTTTTTGGAGTCGGGGGTCTCACTCTGTTGCCCAGGCTTCAGTACAGTGGCATGATCACAATGATCATGGCTCACGGCACTCTTGACCTCCTGGGCTCAGATAATCCTTCCGTCTCAGCAACCTGAGTAGCTAGGACTACAGGCACATGCCTCCATACCTAGCTAATATTTTTACTTTTCTGTAGAGATGAGGTCTTGCTATGTTGCCCAGGCTAATCTCGAACTCCTGGGCTCAAGCAATCTGCCTGCCTCAGCCTCCCAGAGTGTTGGGAATACAGGTGTGAGACACTGTGCCCAGCCTGAAGTGACCTTTCTAAAGTACAAATATGACTATGATTCCCCTTCCAAAGAGGTCCTGTTAGCTGCACATAAAACGAGTACATCCCTGAATTGTATCCCATAACTTTTTTTTTCTTTTTTGAGTTGGAGTCTCACTCTGTCACCCAGACTGGAGTGCAGTGGCCGCTCCCAGCCTCTGCAGCCTCGACCTGCTGGGGTCTGGCCATCCTTCCACCTCAGCCTTCCAAGTAGCTGGAACTACAGGTGCGCGCTACCATGCCCGGCTCATTTTTTATTTATTGTAGAGATGAGGTCTCGCCAAGTTGCCTGGGCAGGTCTCGAACCCGCGGGCTCAGGTTCACTTCAGCCTCCCAAAGGCACGGGATTACAGGCTGAGCCACCGAACCCGGCTACTTTTTTTTTTAATTGGAGTCTCACTCTGTCGCCCAGGCTGGAGTGCACTGGCACACTCACAGCCACTCCAGCAATGACTTGCTGGGTTCCAGTGATCTTTCTGCTTCAGCCTTCCAAGTAGCTGGAGCTACAAGTGTGCACTACTACACCCGGATAATTTCTGATTTATTGTAGAGACAAGGTCTTGCCAAGTTGCCTGGGCTGGTCTTGAAGCCACGAGCTCAGGCAACCTACTCACCTCGGCCTCCCAAAGTGCTGGGATTACAGTCTGAGCCACCGAGCTCAGCCAGACCCCACAACTTTAAAATTTTTTTTTTTAAATTTCAAAATAAAAAAAAAGCAAGTACATGTCATGGAGCGATGTGGCATGACCTAACACAGCATGGCCTTCAAGAGTTTTGAAAGCGGAGACCCTGGGCTCCAGCTACAGCTCAGCAATTACTTGCTGGATAAACCTGGGAATGTTCTTGACCTTCTGTGAGTCTTGGTTTCCTCATCAATGAAATGGGAAGAACAGGTCAGGCTCAGTTGCTCCCAGCACTTTGGGAGGCTAAGGCAAGTGGACTGCCTGAGCCTGTGGGCTCGAGACCAGCCCAGGCAACTTGGTGAGACCTTGTCTCTACAATAAATAAAAAAAATTAGCTGGGTGTGGTATTGCACACCTGTAGTTCCGGCTACTTGAAAGGCTGAGGCGGAAGGATCACTGGAGCTCAGCAGGTTGATGCTGGGGTGGCCATGAGCGTGCCAGTGCACTCCAGCCTGGGTGACAGAGTAAAACTCTAACTCAAAAAGAAAAAGACATAGGAAGAAGAGTATTTACCTCCCAGGGTTGTTGTGAAGATTGATTAAGACTGTGGAAAGCACAATGGAAGTACTCAATGTCAGGGATTACTATTTTGTCTAAGAGTGTGTACTGCCATCATTCCTTTGCCAAGCAGCCTCAGTCTTATAATGAAACTAAATAAAGACTGAGGTCGGAGGCAGTAGCTTATACCTGTAATCCTAGCACTTTGGTAGGCTGAGGTGAGGGAATTGCTTGAGCCCAGGATTTCGAGACCAGCCTGGGCAGCATAGAGAGACCTTGTCTCTCAAAAAAATAAATAAATAAATAAAAATAAGTGGGTGAAGTGGTGCACACCAGCTAATCAGGAGGCTGAGGTGGAAGGATAGCCTGAGCCCAGGAGGTTGAGGCTGCAGTGAGCCATGATCTGCCACTGCACTCCAGCCTGGGCAACACAGTGAGTCACCAACTCAAAAAAAAAAAAAAAAAAAAATTGAGTGCACATATTCAATGACCTACCAATTCCACTACTAGGGGGCACCCTAGTGGAACACTCACAGATGTGCAAAGGACAACTGTACACGAATATTCACTGCTTGAATAGACACTGGGAACACCTCAACATCCACCAAGTAAGATACATAAATAATTGGGAGTCTCTTACACAGGGTGGTGGCCCATCTATCAGGGCAAGCATGGACCAGAGCAGCAGGATGAAGAAGGTTAAATCTCAGAAGGTTGGTGCTAAGCGAGAAAAAGCAGGACACATGCTGCATGGCTTCATTTATAGACAACTTTAAAGCAAGAACAGACCACATATAATAAGACTTACACACACTCAACAAAAGAAGAAAAACAGACAGTGAAATGATAAAACCAAAACTCAGGATGGCAACTATCTCTGGAGATGGAAGAAGGGAGGGGGTTGCCACAGAGGGTTCCATGGTCTCTATATTTCTTAAAAAGAGTATGAAATAAATGGGACACGGTGTTAATATCTTACAAAGCTGGGTGGCAAGGGCATGGACGTTTATTTTATTATTTCTTATATTCTTCCAAAGGCTTAAAACATATCATAATTTTTTAAATGGTAGCAATTTCAGGCTTGGGTCACCACTGACCATCAAGCCCAGAGCAGGCCTTGCTAAGCGCTTGTTGAATGACTAAGTGTCTTTATGGTGAAGGTGAGAATGGTCCTCCTCTGCTCAGACCTCACCAGATGACACCGACCAGGGACAGAGACAGATGGACCTGTGTGTCTTCAAAGAGTGGGCAGGTATGCGGGAAGGCAGGTAGGGTTCATGGTGAGGAGGCTCCACCATTACTAAAGAGTAATTACTTGCTGGTCTGCAAGACCACAGCGGGCCAGAGGAACCCAAGTTACAGAGAGGACTCAGGCATGGATGTGAGCTTATAAGAAAGTGGGTGAATGTGGCTTTTGGCCACGGGGTCTAGGGTTCTTTGACAGATACCCAGCTCCCTGCCTGCCTTGTCTCCTGGAAACCATTTTTCCGGTCCCAGCAGGGTGGTGCTCAGTCAGGGCTGGGCAGAAGGGACCTAACTAATCAAGTTCTGGGATTTATAGGCTCAGACCAGAGCAGGAAGGGAGCAGCCAGTCCAACTTCCCTGTGTTTTCCAAAGGAGGGACCAGAAGCCTAGAGGAGGGTACAGGACTGGGCCAAAGTTATACAACAAAAGTGAGCAAAGCAAAACTCACCAGGCAAAACTCAGGCCAGGGTGTCCCCCAGCAACTCAGCTCCCAAGCCCTCAGCCTGGAGACACACACACACACACACACACACACGTGCTCTGTTGAGGCTACCAACTGTCGACCGGCACCAGCCTAGGCACCTCCTTGTTCATGTGTCAGGCCTCAGGCCTTCGGTAAATATTGTCCCTGGTGGCGAGGCTCCAGGCAGGGTGAGCACACCCCTCCCAGGTCACCTGGGCAGTATCTGGGGCCTGCAACCTTCCAGTACCAGGGCTCCCAGCCGCTGCCTCCTCCCCACTGGGGCACAGGAAAAGCGGAGTTGTTGAAGCTGTCATTGCTACAGGCCTGTGCAGGGGGACACACAGGGTTTCTCAGAGGGTGGAGGCAGGGGTGGGCGGGAGAGCTACGTTGACAGTGACAACGCCCCCCTTTTACTACTGGGTTCCCGCTGCACCCCATGGGCCCGGCTGGACCATTCCTTAGCCCACGGGGTCCCCCAAACATCCCTGAAGCCGATGGGGTGGGTGAGGGCTCTGACATCAGACAGAGCTGAGTTCAAATCCCTGGAGCCCCAGCTCCCACCTCCTGGGGGCCCGACGACAAGTCACTTGGGAGCTGTGCCTAAGTCTCCTCGTCCGTGACGGGGGTGACACTAACAGGACCCACCCACAGGTGCACATGCCGCGAGGCCGGTGGGGGAGGCGGCTCCGAACGCCGCGGGACCGCAGCTCCGTGAGAAAGTTGGGACCCAGAGGCGGAGTGCCCGGCCGGGGTCCCCG